TGTGTAACTCTTGCTTCTGTCTGGCTAATTATAAGCAGACCCATAAATAGGCTGTTGTATTAAGCCTTTTAGCAGTTGCAGTGTGTTGGATACTTTTGTATATCAGTAACTGATTAGATTAAGATCTTGATCTAGTAGCTGAAATGTGTTCCTCAGCACTCTGAGGTTTACTGTTTGTTGAAAAAAATTACAGTGACAGCATGGAATTTCTCTTACAGGAAATGGCAGCAGTGTCAGCTTTTCTTCAGCCTGGAGCTCCTAGACCATATCCCGCTCATTACATGGAGACAGCAATTCAGACYTATCGAGATATCTGCAAGTATGTTGTTTACTTTCATACTGATACAGTGCAGATTRAAAGATTGGGTGGCTTAACTTTCTTGCTCTGCACAGTGATAGTGTCAGATAATCACAGTGATGGTAACTTTAAAGAGCAAGATGAACTAACATATCTAGAGTAGCATGAAAGAAGATCTGGGCTGTTCTAYACAGAACAGTACATGTGTACTGATTTCACATGGTAGATTTTTTTGATAGTGGGGTGACTGCAGGGATGCTTTCTGTGACAAGACAGCGGGAGCTGCCTGTGGCAGAGTCAATTTTCCCTCAGCTTCGAAATGGACCTGCTGCTGTCCAARCTGGCAATGCTGGTGCTGGTGTTGCCTCTGYGGTAATAGATTTAAGAAAGGGTAAAAATAGCTGTGCAGCAGCTGTGAGAATGCAGTGAGAAAATGAGAGAAACTTCCTTGTGGACACCAACATTGGAGGAGAAAGGCGGTGCTTCTGTGCAGCCTGTGGTGAAGATCATGCTGAAGCAGATTTTCCCCTTGCAGCCCATGGGGAAGCAGGGATCTACCCTGCAGCCTGTCCCAGTGCCAGAGCAGGTGGATGTGCCCTGAAGATGGCTACACACAGCCTATGCCACAGCAGCTTCCTGGCAGGAACTGTGACCTATAGGGAAACCATGCTGGAACAGTCAGTTTCTGAAAGGATACATGCTGGAACTGTATTTGTGGGAGGGATCCCACCGTGGAACTGGGGAGGGGGGTGTGAAGGAAGAAGCAGCAGAGGAGAAATGTTACAAAGTGATCACAACTCCTTTTCCCAGTTCCCCTCCCTGCTTGCCGGGAGAAGGAGGTAGAAGAGTGAAGATGAGCCTGGAAAGGAGGATATGTCAGGACATGTTTTRTTTGTTTTTCTATTTATTGCAATGCTATTCAGTTATTAATTGCAATAAATTAATTTAATCTTCCTCRAAACAASTCTGTTTTGGGCATGACTMRCTGGTGAGTGATCTCCCTGTCCTTTTCTCAGTACATGAGGTTTTTAGTTTGATCTTCTTCCCCTGTGTTGCCGAGCAGGAGGGTATTATAGAGCGGCTTGGTGGGTGCTTGGTACCCTGGTACAGCTTGCCAATACAACCTGCTTCTGGCTGTTGGACTTCTTGTCTGTCAGATCATTTTAGTTGATATTTTTATAAATACAGTACTCAAAAATACTCACCAGCTTTGACTTTCATAAAGCTCCTGTTACAGTAGGATTGAACACTTAATGTGTCGATCTCTATGTGGTTGTTTTGTGGGGAGTCAAACTTTGCTTTAAGAAGGATAAACATTAGAACCTCAGTCTGATGCCAGATGGAGAAAATTTGTGAGATTTGAGCTGGAAAGTTTTCTAGAGTTTATTTTGATAAATATTTATTAATACATRTATGTTTTTACTTTAGGAACATGGTTCTGGCTGAACGCTGTGTACTACTTAGTGCTGAAATCTTAAAAAGTCAAAGCAAATATTCAGAGGCAGCTGCTCTTCTGATTCGTTTAACCAGTGAGGTAAAACTTAGTAGCTTTTTCCTTTTCTGCCCTCTCACTATTTGTTTTCTTACCCAAGCACTTCTAGGTTACCTTCTGATTCTTGTCCTGCAATATTTTCTAGCCAAAGGTAGCAARTGAGCAGGTATAGAGCATGAAGTGAAAAAAATTGTTTACAGTGTAAGTGGAGGAACTAGTACAGTTATTCCTTTTCTAGTCAAATTACTTGCTTGACTTCCTTAACCATGCTAAATGTGTTATCTTTGGCTTTGGAACTAATTTTCTTTGACATCTGCTTAGCTCTTGGATGGCGTAGCTTAAGAATTCATGTGTTAAAATATTAGCATGGCTTGTCAGAGCCGTAATGGATGCTATCCCATATATAATCAGAAATTCTCTATAGTTGAAGTAACTAAAGCATTACTGTAGCTGAGTTGGTATGAATCATTAGAGCCTTACTATATAAGTGAAACCCTACACTTCTGTGATAGTAATTGGTGAAAATTAAGCATGGAATCAGCTTCTAATGTAGAGATTGTCTTCCTTGAAAAACAGTGAAGAAAAATGTAATTCCAGTAATAGTGTAGCATCTCCTTTGTAGCTTGGAGAAAAGTTTAACTACCAGTTTTGATTTCATGGCCAGCTGCACCAAATGTGATGTTTCTGAGACTTTCATGGGGCAGATTAAGCATGGAATAAATTTGTTTGGTTCTGTAATTTTCTCTTTCAAGTGTCTCTGCAGCTTCATTTTTGTCCTTTCAGCTTAAATTAAGCTTGCTACCAATGTTTATGAGAGCAGTGTAAGGTATTTTAGCAAGGCATTTATTACTATTTGATCTGCAGAATCATTCTACAACTTAAAATTAGATGTAGTATGCCGTGGTGGTGCATTTTGATAGTTGCAAGGAATATCTATTGGTGTCTCAGAGTATATTTGTAGACAAGATATATACTTGACCATCACTGAGCATGGAATTCAGCTGTTAAATCAAGTAGGTTCTGCTTTGATTGGTTAAAGTAATATAGCTGTGTCCTGACGAGAGAAGAGAAGGGGGTAATATTAAGAAATTGTACATTACTAAGAAATCAACAGGTTTGAAAGGTTGTTGTGATAAAAGTTCACCAAGTTTCATTGCTCCATCTATTTTTCTGTTATCCTCGTAGAAGTCTTATTTTTTCTCTCAGGCGGGGAGGGAAATCGGTAGCAGAGTGCTTCAGAGGTTTGCAACTGTAGCCTGAGTAACTGAAAAAGCAGAAAATATTTGTTTTGGAACTCATACTGAAACAGGTTCATATGTTCTTCATAAGAAAAAAATCAGAACATGATGATATTGAACACTGTACCTGTAACAAMGTGAAAAGTGCTTTTAGTCTAATTTTTATATGCTCACTTATGTGTATAATKTTTGCATATGAAAGAATCTTCAACTTCCTAGTACTCTTAAAACTTACTGTCCCTCTTAGCATTAAAACAAGGCCCCTTTATGGTTTTTATTCAACTCTGAGACTAATTCCTTTTTTTTTTTTTTCCTTTAAATAGGATTCAGATCTTCGCAGTGCACTCCTGTTGGAGCAGGCAGCCCATTGTTTYATAAACATGAAAAGTCCCATGGTTAGAAAGTTTGCATTTCATATGATATTGGCTGGCCACAGATTTAGTAAAGCTGGTCAGGTAAGTATTATCTTTCCACATGGAAAATAGGCCTGCTATTTGGTGCTTTGAAAAACATGTTAAATGTGTCATTAGTCTTGAAAACAATACTTGGCTTCTGACACTTCTGTGTAAGTCAGCAATATTGTGCTCTGTGATCTTTTGAAAATGGCTTCTGCATTGATCACTGTAGCCATTTACTTSTGGATTTGAAGCAGTGCTAAAGATTACTGACTTGAAACCTAAGTGATGGTGTTTTCATTTCTGAGTCTCATTTCATACACAGTACCATAMAAGGCTTTTTGGGGCGAGGGTGTGTTTTGACTCTTGAGATAAGAATGAATTGCAGGAGTTATTTGTTAAACTCAATTTATTAGAATAATAACAACATTTAGATATTTGTTTTTCCTGATGGCTTAAATACATGTTCTTTATTAGAGGTACAGGTGCGTGAAAATTACTGCATGACAAATCAAAGCATCTCTCTGGTGTTAGACTTAAGTGCTTGTTAAACCAATGCAGATCAGATTCTTTTTACTCCCATTCATTTTCCTTGGCAGACAGCTCTAACTGTGGTAGATAAACTTTGTTGGACAGAACTTTTGTATCTGTCAGATGTGGGATGCACTGTAAAGATACACCCTGTGTTTAATTCCTTCTGAGGTGGTTGTTGCAAAATAATAATGCAAGAGAACCAAATCATCAAAGTTCTGGAAGAAAGCCCTATTGGTGGGGGATTTTTGTCCCACCCTACCCAGTTTCAGTTTCATTGTCCTGGTAAGGATTAAAAAAAAGGTACTGTTGTATTCTTGACTTCTGTGAAGAACAGGAGTACTTCTTCCCCTCCTTGGTTTTCTTCATGTAGAAGTTTCCTTTTCTGTTGTTAGCACTTGACGGGGAGCTGTTGATCAGTTTTTAATTTATTTATTATTTTATATCTTGTTCCTTTGCCTGGAAAAGTGAATGAATTATGTAAAGTTTTGACTCTGAGTAACAGCTCTTTTTGTTGATTGTGTCTAGTATTTGTAGGGATTCTGGTTTCCAAGAAATACTTCTTCAGTGTTGCAGGAAATGTAGCTTATATTTTTTCAGATCCTTAGAGGTACCGAAATGTAAATGCTACTGAAGAAAAATCAGCCAGGCTGTGTAGCTGCAGACCATAATACCATATTTTAAAGTGTCATTAGTACATGCCAATGTTAAGGATTTGCTGCCTGTACAGTGCTGACATCACCAAACCAATGTGAACAGATATTAGGTTGTTTTCCCCCATTACTGCTGTAAATAAGGGAATRCTGTTGCCACTTTTTAGAAGCTGAGACTTAGCTGTACACAGAATGTCTGTACAGGTGTTCAGTACCTAGACTTGGGATTGAATGCCTGGATCCTGGTATATATACAGGAAAGGCACTCTGGAGCTGACTGGGAGACAGATGTCTCCCAGTGGCTGATATGATTGGTGATTTTTCTTGTATGTACTGTAGGGCTGTGCTTTGTTGGTTTTCTTGGCATGGATTTTGTCCCAGGTAGGTCTACTGAGCAACAATTGGCCGAAAGAAGTTCATTTCGGGTGGAATGTAATGTGTTAAATCCATTTTATGTCCTGAGGCTTGACAGTAGAGCTCTGTAAACTCTAGCAGTCTGTTCTAAAGGAATGTCAAACAGTGTTTTAAAAGTAGAYTTTTCTTGTTATTTGCTTTCTTAAATTAATGCCTGTTACTCTAGTCTTTGCAAATGTGAACCTAATCTGGAGGCCAGGCTCTGTACTGTACAAGCAAACACTTCTGTGCTGTGCTTAGATTAGTGTTGATGAGATGTTATGAGGCACAGTTCTGAAACATTACACTTTGCATWGCGGCAGGGATGTGGTAAAAATTAATTTTGACTTACTGTTCAGTCTTCATAATATTACAAAAACAGTCAGTGGATAATTGGATTATTTGAGAAATTAACTTTTTTCTTGCAGAAGAAACATGCCTTACGTTGCTACTGTCAAGCCATGCAGGTTTACAAAGGGAAAGGCTGGTCTCTTGCAGAAGACCACATTAACTTCACCATTGGTCGTCAGTCCTTTACACTTCGTCAGCTGGACAATGCTGTGTCTGCCTTCAGGCATATTTTGATCAATGACAGTAAACAACCTCCAGCTCAGCAAGGAGCTTTTTTAAGAGAATATCTTTATGTCTATAAGGTAAGTTACTTCTTTGTTCCTGGAGTAATAAGTATTATTTATTACCACTATTTTTCTATTAAATCATTAAGTGATATTCTGTTATGTTCTGCTTTGCTCCTGGATTGTTTTTTTTTTCTTTTCAATCTAGTTGATAATATTCAATTTTTCACTTCAGACTTCAAAATACCCACATAGGCTACATCTTGTATGTGTAGTACTTTCACAGCTGGGTGTTAGTATGGGTTATTATTACAGTAATATAATGTATGTGGTTTTATTACAATAAAGTGAAGTCTTCTTTTTGAGCGTCATGGCTGAATTGTAGTTGTGATAAGTTTTGTAGGTTTATAGAGGAAGTGGATCTGTTTTGATCCATGTGTAATGATTTTGGGGAATTTTGATAATACAKGTKTAATAAAGATTAGGTAGCTCTGTCMCCATCCATGTAGTGAATTTTATTCTTTAATAAGGATAAAATTTGGTGGATCAAGTGAGTCACTGAGTTGTRCTTAAGCTCATGGGTGATTCTGGACTGTAGTATACCATATACATTATGGGGTTTTTAGTGCTGRTGTTGCCACACAACATGCAGCCATGTAGATACTTACTGTCTTGTAAAGCTTAGGAACAGAATTTCAGTGGTATTTRCTGAGGTATGGTAGACCTTACTCAGAGGCTGGTGTTTGAGTCTTCAGCTCAGCTTGGTGAGAGTTGTTGAATGGTAGTGGGATAGTGAATGTAGTTCATCAAATTCTGAATTAGAGGCTCAAGCTTCGCATCAAATGAAGCTTGTAACAGCAGCCACAGTACTGATTAGATTTCACGTTTAAAATAATTATTCTCCTTTTTCTGTAAAGATTTCACAAACTTCATACTCCTATTGAAGAAAAAAACATTTATGTGAGACTGTCAAAACAGTCAATTGAAATTATTTGTTACATCTTAAAAGTACTCCCCATTCAAACACTGAGTGTTTTTAACTTGGCTTCCTTATTATTCAGCCATTAGTAATATATGACACTGTTTTTTGGCTCCTTTGCTGCAGAATGCAACCCAGCTGTCACCTGATGGTCCCTTACCACAGCTTCCTTTACCATAYATTAACAGCTCAGCAACTCGTGTTTTCTTTGGGCATGATCGACGGCCAGCAGAAGGTTAGAAAACTTCATGTAAACAATTTCAAGTCTCTTTTTGAGGAACTGAAATACCTGCAAGAGTTGGTGCTATTTAAAGTCTGTATTATGTAAAACTAATGTGACTGGGTAACTTAAAAATATTTCAAAAGAAAAGCTTGAGCTTAGTATCTACTTGTTGGATGTTTCCAGACTTCCTGTGCAAATATTAAATCTGTGCATCTGGTTGTGCTGACTATCACTRTTTCTCATACCTGGAAAGCTTCAGTGCAAGTCTGTGRTGAACTTCTTGAAAGGGATTGTTAYTGCTGTAGCAAGTACTGRATGCTAATGGCAATGCTAGAAATTAGCTTTACAGCTAACTTGCTAACTTCCTCTTGGATGAAATATTTGAAACACTGTGATTCCTGAATGTAAAGRAAACTGAGTAGAAATCCTTACATAAACCAGGGCTATACTGTGGGGTTGTAGTCTAAGTAAAAATGAGCTGTAGCCTAAGTATATCATGTGGCATGCTAAAATCTTAGAATGCCATGATATCCAAATTGAATTATATTCAAATTATTCTTGGTGTTGCCTTCTGTCTGTGTATTTCAAAATGTTTGCAATTCGCTTTTTTAAATCAATTGTAGAATGATAGCGACCTAGAACTTAGAGTACTTTAAGAATAGTTATCAAATTGCCAGGGCAGCCCTCTGATGCAGCTGTTACATGTCATCCCACCTTCTAAGACTGCCTTTCTCTCACCAGGTGAAAAGCAGGCAGCTACRCATGTAAGTCTGGATCAGGAGTATGACTCGGAATCATCACAACAGTGGAAGGAGCTCGAGGAGCAGGTTGTGTCTGTGATAAATAAAGGAACAATACCTCCAAACTTTCAACCAACGCAGTTCTGTTTAAATCGCTACTCAGATAACTCCAAATTTCCGCTTGCTGTGATAGAAGGTAAAGATTCTTACTCTTCAGCAATAAACTGAGTTAAATAAATTTGTATAATATTTCCTGTCATATTATAGGTTTGAACCAATATTCTTGTGTGAGACGTTTGTACATGAATACTCTGAGATAGGTGAGCTTTCAGATTGTGATGGGAAAAGCCTGTTGTAATWTTTTTCTTGCACTTTTTTTAATAGAACCAATAACTGTAGAAGTGTCCTTCCGAAACCCTCTGAAAGTTCCACTTCTTTTGACTGACCTTTCATTGCTSTGGAAGTTTCAACCTAAAGACTTCAGTGCAAAGCAGGATGGAGAAACAAAAGAGCGGGTAAGGAAAGCTTCATCCTTTTCCAACCCAAACAGCTACAGGTATGGAGTGTATGTCAAGTATTCAAAATTCTGAAGTATGAAAACATTTAAGCATAAGCATTAAATATGGTTTAAGTGTAAACTAAGAAAAAAGGCAAGAAAAACGTAGCTACTGAAATTCTTTTTGCATTATCTAGATTTTCCTAGATCTGTAGGGAAAAAGCAGTCAAATCAACAAACATACTGTAATGTGTATCGTAAAGCTGAATGCAAAACGAAATACTTCCAAGATTTCATCGTATGCATATTACATCTGTTTTGAGTCACATTAGCCTTGACCAGCAGATATGACAAATATGAGTGTTATTAGGTAGATTATCAAATATCTTTTTCTTGTTTGAGCTACTCTAAATAGTGAAATGTGTGTCCTGAAAAACTGTGCTTGTATAACATAGGAACATCTTGGTATCTTGATGAAAATTTGTTGTATTTAATGTTTTGAATACTTAAGATGAGCTATTGTAGTACTGTTTAACTTATCGCTTCAGTTGATGCTGCCAAAACCTCTGATGGACTGTTCTCACATCCATGTTTTWTATGTTTTAATATGTTCTAATAATGAATATTACAGTACAGTCCTAAATRATTTGTTTTTCTAGCCAAAAGCATTTGGAACATAGTAATCTCTAAAGGTGCTGTAACTATTTGCCAACGTTGTAAGCATGAGTTCGCATAACTCTCRGGGCTTCCCACACACTTTCCCTTCTGTTCTGATCTGAACTGCTTCTTTAACGGTGTGATAAATCCTTCTGTGACTATCAGTGAAATTGACTGGGAGTGGTTCCAATTTATAGTGCTAAATCTTAAATTTCTTTTAAATGCTTACTGAGTCTCGAGCTGCATTTTTAATTCGGAAATCCTGAGAAGCTGGCCATGCAGCACTTGTTTGTCCTAACTATCTGCAGTTTGAAATTTGTATGCTTTTTCCCCTTGAACACTTTGGGAAAGGTACTGGAAATACTATTTATGACACTATTTCTGCTTAGGAGTAATAGTACCTAAAGAGCTGTTTCTTCTTTTCAGGATATACGTGATGAAGATATGGTAGGAACTGAAGCAATAGCAGAGTTTTTAATTAATAGTGAGGAGACAAAAGTGGTAAGTACTMTATTTTGTTTTAAAAACAGTCTTTTCAGTGTTGAACTTCAGTGTGTGTTTCAGGCTTGTTATGATCTGAACTTAAGGCTAAACTTAGAGCTAAGACATGATGAGTCAGAAGTTCTAGTACCACATATATCTTATCACTGTGTATAAATGTGACAGGACCRGAGGCAGTGGACMCRAGAGGCTTCATGTGAAACAATCAGGAAACATTTATTTATAATTATAAATTTATAAATTCTTATTTTGTAACTGTGATGGTGCTTGAGCTCTTGGCCCAGGCCGCCCAGAGAGATTGTGGAGTCTCAGACAGTTTGGACAACATGACCTYCAGAGGTCCATTCCAACTAAAGCCATTCTGTGATGCTACCCCCTGTTAATCATAGYAAAAGTTAACTTTTAGGATTTTTTCCTAATGTAATGAGCATTTGCCAGCTGAGAACTGATTTGTTAAATTCTGCATATGTGAAATTTTGAGTCTAGTAAGTGACCTATATTTACTGTGCGGTTATTTCTGATGCACCTGTAAAATAAACGTAGCTGTGTGTTTAGCAATTGGACATTTAAATGTAATAATACTTCTTTCTAGTAGCAACAACAACAAAAATTTAACGTATCTCCACAGGCAAGACTAAAGCTCTTTCCCCATCAAACAGGGGAGCTACATATTCTGGGAGTCGTTTATAATCTTGGCACTGTTCAAGGTGCTATGCCATTAGATGGGATAGATCCTTCTATTGGATTACAGACAGGTAAGTGTATTATTATCTTAAATTGTGTGTTTGTGGAGGGAGGAGACATGGCTTCTTCAGAGTAGARCTAAGTTCTAGTGTTTAGTGTTTGACTGCTATGAAGCAAGGCCTTCCATCAGGTAGGGATGTAGAAATAACAGRAACAACTGAAATGGGAAAAGAACARATTGACTCTTGTGGGAATCACATGAGGATGGATGCCAGATTCATACTTTATTGGTCCTTTTAAATCTGTTGAAATTTTGAAATCAGTAAAAAATCAAAATGTAAATATYCCATCTATGCCATGTTGAATCTGTAACAACTTCCATTGACTCTATTGGCATTAATTTTTTCCTATTCATCTTTTTGTGCTGTTAACTTTCAACTTTTGTTTAAATATTGCACTGAATTCTTTTTATAAATTCCCAAATGTAAATTTGGCTGATAACAGTTTTTTTTCGCATCTTAAATTCTCTTTTCTTTACATTAATATATAAATGGACAATWAATTGGCATGCTGCTTGACCTGTTCTGTTGAATTGTTCATCTGAAACTGTCTCTCACATGTTGAGACAGTTGAGACATCTTTAGTTGTTAGGTTAAATGGGGATTAAAATGTGTGAAAGTGTCTGAAAGAAATAGARGATTGTTTATGKMGAGGCTGGAAACYTYTTGAATACAAACTGTTTGGAGAACRGTGGCTGTCTTTAAAGGAAATAATCCTTTAAGTGACTTTTCCAGCCTGGCAGAAATTTGGAATTTTCCAACTTCAACTTCAYGCACTGTGTCTTCCACTTCCCTTCCAGTTGTAATCAAACTATTGAAGGGCAGAGTAAGTCCACAACAATGGATAACTGGCTGTTGAAAATTGCACTAGTCAGGTGTTGTGTGACTGTTAGCTTTGAATAGTTCTTTGTTGGTGATGCTGCTTAATCAATGAACCCTGCATGTGCTCAATAACAAAAATCAAAATGACTTTGGAGGTTGGATTGGGAACTCTGGATCATTTCATAGAGATGAAGTTAGGAATTACTTAAAAATACCCAAATGAAAAAATGTTTTAAAAATCTTTTCAGGAAAGTTTGTTTCCAATGGATTATCYGTACGAGGACGACAAGATTTAGAAATCCAAGGACCTCGACTTAATAACACAAAAGAGGAAAAAACATCGATTAAATATGGACCTGATCGACGTTTAGATCCCATTATTACAGAAGAAATGCCTTTGTTGGAGGTATGTAGCTACTTCCTATTGGCATTTTTGAGAAAAYAGTTGAATGCAGAGTTTATAAATGTAGTTCTGAAAATGAAGGCTTGGATTTTGCTAGTGCCTAAATTTTTCCAGGTGATTTCTGATCTGTCAGTGACAAACTTCTGTTGGTTTTTTCCAGTTGAAGGCTCAAAATTCATGTCCTTCTGAAAGTGCTATATTCCCTTTAGAATTTTAGTTGGCAACAGCTTTTGTAGCCAGATGAAGGGGGAACAAGCAAAGAAGCTTTTTTCTGTTTGCTTTACATTAATTTAGAACAGTTATTCCAGTGGGTTGATTGAAAAAGAGTGCTTTGCCCTATACTAGGGCTGTTTATATGGTCTGGCTGACTGGTCAATCACAGTGCCCCGTACAGGACAGGTAGTTCAGCTAGAAGGGACTACAGTGATCATGCAGTCCAGCTGCCTGGACCAAGTTATGTGCCTTGACCACAATGTATTAATGGCTTTGTCCAAATGCCTCTCAAACAGTGACTGGCCTGGGGCATCATCCACCTCTCTAGGAAGCCTATTCCGCTGTTTGACCACTATCTCCATTAAGAAATTCATCTTAATATCCAGTCTAAACCTCCCCTGGTGCATCTTTGCATTCTCACGTCCAGTCACTGGATTTCAGGGAGAAGAGATGTGCACCTCCCTCACCACTTCCCCTCCTCAGGAGACWCTAGACAGCAGAATAGTTTGGATGTGTTAATGGTTGTTTTCACAGGTATTCCTAACTTGGCTTAGCATTCAGGTTTTTATTTTATCCTTTTCTCTCCCCCATACAGGTGTTCTTTATAAATTTTCCTACAGGACTTCTCTGTGGAGAAATCAGAAAAGCATATGTAGAATTTGTGAACGTAAGCAAGTGTCCTCTTACTGCACTGAAGGTCGTATCCAAGCATCCAGAATTTTTCACTTTTGGTGGAAATACTGCTGTTCTAACGCCACTAAGTCCTTCAGCCTCTGAAAACTGTAGTGCTTACAAGACTGTTGTGACAGATCCTACCTCTGTGCGAACAGCACTGCTGTCTTCAGCTTCTTCTGCAGACTTTGGGGTTGGCACAGGAGGTTCACCTGAAGTAATACAGGTTCCACTTCCTGATGCTGTTCTTCTCCCTGGGGCTTCAGTGCAGCTGCCAATGTGGTTACGGGGACCAGATGAAGAAGGTGTTCATGAAATTAACTTCTTGTTTTACTAYGAAAGTATTAAAAAGCACTCAAAAATGTGGTAAGTTTTTCTACTCTACCTTTCCTGTTATACTTACTAGACACATTATAAACATTGTAATGGTAAAGGTAAATCTTTCTGAATTTCTCTCAATCACTGTGATTATGTGAAAATAGTTGTTATTGCTATTCTAAGCAATATCTTTACTATATGACTAATTTCCTTATGAAATTGTATACCCTTTACTGCTTTTATCAAAGTAGTAAATATTAAATTATTAAATAATTTAATAAAAGGAGGGCTAATGGTATTCTGTTAATAGAAATTTTCATTGTTTCTATTTAGTTCCTCTGGAACATCTTTCTTGAGGCATAGGGTGAAAAATCACAACCTAATTTGTTTCTACATTTTATAAAACAAAATMTTGTCTACCTTGAAGAAAAGATTTTGTTCTTCATTCAAATTTGGTTARTAATTGTATTGTGATTAAAATTGTTCTCTTTGGAGGGGTTAAATACCAATTTTGACTTGTGTGCTGTATAGTTCATTTTTGGACCATCTTGGGAGAGTTCACAGTCAAATTTGATACCACAAACTAAAAAAAACGTAAGAAATTAATTTACCATTTCCTGCGGGCAGACATGTTTTCAGGAAACGAGAGTTCCATCATTTGTTATGACTACTTGGGAAGACACATGTCATCAGCCCTGCTTTCTCCTTCTCCCTAGTTTTATTGCTGATCATGACATCATATGGTGTCATGGAATATCTCTTTGGTCARTTGGGGATCAGCTGTCCCCAGTGTGTCCCCTCYCACCTTTTAGTGCAACTCCAGCCTGCTTGTGGTGGGGTGGGGTGGAGAACAGAAAAAGCCTTGAATCTGTGTGAGCCCTGCTCAGCAATAACAAAAACATTCCTGTGTTAGCACTGTTTCTAGCATAAATCCAAAATATGGCCACCCACCAGCTACTCTGAAGAAAATTAACTATACCAGCCTAAACCTGCACACTTGGTGTGTGTATCAGGGTTACTTCAGTTAAGCTCTACTAACATGGACTGAAYGTCTTCTTGTGGCTGAAGCTGGTTTTCCCTGCTAGTTCTGAGAGAGAAACAAAGTTCATGTGCTGTGGGAGTGGTTGGCAGTGTAAGCCAAAGCAGAGTAAGTTGAAGATGGTTAAGAGATTGGATCAGTAGCATAGTCTCAAACCTGAAGTCATGCAAATGCACCCTTGGTTTAGATTTTTTTGTAGCTTCTGAAATACCAAAGTTAGCATTTCATTTGGCTCTAAGCTAGTCYGGAAGAATAGGGAATTCGTCCCCCTACAACTCATAATATTCAGAAATGCAGATGTTTGAGAGATCGAAGAGGGTTGTTTGGGGAATGCACTTGTTCCCTGCTGTACTGAAGTTTTCAGGGAAACTTAAGCAAAGCAAACTGCTCTGGTTTAATAGTGYTCTTTGTAGACTGAGCATAGCTTTTAAGTGCTGAAAAAATTATTTACTTTGTGCCATTTGAAAGCTRTGCAGACATCTGTATATCTGAGGATTAACTGCAAAACTTTAAAGTTTCTTCTGTAATTGTGATGCTGAAGTAGAGATTAGGAAGTCGCTTATTTTTCCCTCCCAAAAACAAGTGTCAACATGCTGTTTCAACATATTTAGTAGATAATGAATTCTTACATGCCTTAGAATGTTTSCAAGTGGAAATTGTGGTAGCTAAAAGCTTCTACATGGGAAACTCTTATGTGTTTTGATGATGTCTAAGAATGGAATTCTACTCATCTTTAGAAAAACAGGAAGATAACTTTCACAAAGGGTCTGCTGTCCTGGAGGTTGATCATTCTCTTTTCAGGAGAATTTATTGAATGCAGTGGTATTTTAAGTGCTTTTTAATAAATATTTATGGCAAGAGATGTGACTAACTAGTGGCCTGTTTACGGCTTATTTACTCAAAAACTATTTTCCAAAGCATTTGGTGGCATTAAATACCTTAATATGTGTCTGTTTGCTTTCACTCTGCCAGTTGTCTCCCATCTGAAACGTTTTTGAAGTATTTTTTGTCATGGTAATGTGTGAACTTTTTTCTTCAGTATTTTGTACTGGCTGAGAGACTGTGTCTAAAGGGGACCTACCTATGCAGCAAGACGGTTAAAAATAATGTAGTTTTGATAGGGTGTCTTCAGTGAAAAGTGTCTCTTTGATGGTTGAAACAAATAAGTTGTCTAATGGCCTTAATATTGACAAACATAAAAGCTGAATTTCTTGATGTCCATGTTCTGGGCAGTCCTGGTTGTTCAGAATGTTGTCTTTTTGTTTTTCTTTCCTCTTCTTCTTCACTTTCTTAGTCATAGAGTACTAAGGCACACTGCAGTTATTTGTACCAGCCGGTCTCTGCACATTCGGGCTACTGTTTGCAGAAGTAATGCACTTGGGGATGAAGAAGGCAGAGGGGACAACATGTTGCTGTTTGTGGATGTAGAAAATATCAATACTGTAAGTTCTTATCTTTATAATTACTTTTCTGTATTATTACAGATGAGAGTTACCACTGGAACYAAGACTAAAGTAAAAAGGTTCTTCTACAGTAACTTTGCAAGCACTAAATAAATCTTGCRTATTTGATCATTCCATTTATTGTTGGAAAGAGTATTAATGTTATTTCTTAGCTCTTTGGAAGTCTCCTATACTTATCGAATTCCAGGACTGTTGTTCAAAGTGTTTTTAAGGAAGATTTATTCCAAACTGATGAATGTTCTTGATGATTGCAACTTCCAGGATTCTCATTCAGGCCTACATGTGCCCTCTGCACCCTCTCAGTGAAAACACTTGTAGAATTAGTGATAACGTCAAAATCAAAATTTAAGCTCTGAAGGAAGTTTCTGTGTTTACGTTTATCACCAAACTCTAAAGATATTTTTGGACATATAATCCAAATACAATATGATCTGTTGACTTAGTAAAGCAGATGAAAATACTCAGTTTTTCATACCATGCTAATTTAAATTTAYTCATTTTTTTGATGAAGCTGCTCCCACTTTTTCAGTCACAAAGCAAGGTAATTGAATCATCTGTTCATAGAATTCATAGACACTTAGTTGGTAATGRAACTGCTGAGTTGATTTGTCATTTTCTTTTGAAGGTGTGTACTCTGTTTTTYCTTCAGTTACTAAAGTGAACATTGCCCACTTCTTTAAGGAGGAAAGAATGTTTTTGTAAAGYACTTAAAAGTTAACAGTGTAAGGCTTAGTTTTCCACTACCACTTCACTCTACAAGAAAGGAAGCCAACTTCGAAAGCTGCTTCTTACTGTATATATATGTAATTCCAAATTAAACAGATCTTGAGTTTCTAGGATTTATGACCTAACAATATTTCTAAAGTTATCCTAGAAACTAAGTAGCCTTGTGGACAGTGTTGAAGAGAAGTATTTGAGTTAGAGCCTAGTTTTTGTAAAAGTCATTCTTAATCTGAAATACTGGCTTGTGGGTCTCTTTCATTTAGGGGATCCTCATTTCCTCTTTGTGTGGCTTTGTTTACTGGATTTGGAAGTTGCTGTGGTCTGGGACTATTGCTTTCCTTTACAGTGGGTCTTAAATCTCTCCTTCCTTGTCTCTGAAAACTGTCTGTTATGAATGGTGTGAATAATGAGTTAAATTAAGATTCTAACAGTGTTACTTTGCAGTGAATACTTACTGTGCAATGTTACAAATCACAATTGTGATTGGTTTTCTTTGACATAACTTTTGTCTCTTCCTTAGAGTGAGACAGGCGTTAAGGAATTTCATATAGTGCAAGTTTCAAGCAATAGCAAGCACTGGAAACTTCAAAAATCTGTTAACATCTCTGGAGACAAAGGTGTGTATCTTTATCACCAAAATAATGGCACGTTTACCTTCTGCCTGGTAAAAAACGTTAAAGGAATCTAAAAAGGAGGTGAATTTAGCTTTTGAAATAATTAGCTTCYAAAAAYTTTGTCCRTTTCAAACATACTGAARCACTTACTTTGYTCRTATTTCAAGAAATGTATATTTACAGATAACTTATTCTGACTTTGTTTTAAAAACAAGCTAAATTTAAAGCTAATTTTTTTCTGCATTGTAGAGAAATCTGTGTCTGGGGTGGCTAATAACTTTCCTCACAAGAAGTATGGTTGTGTTGTGTGCAGTTGTGATGCCTGATTAGCTGTGCTTGTTATCAGTGTGGTTCCTATTTGTGAGTGTTCAAGACTGGCTTTTGTTTAGGGGACTCTGATTATGCTGGCAGCAAAAAAAAAAGTCTTGCAACCTTTTTCTTTCAGATACGAAACTCGCTAGCAGAGAAAGAGCAAAACTATGTTTTAAAGCAGTGAGATGCAAAAACTCAGAAGGTAAGTTCTTTCCTGAATGTGTTAACTGTTTTAAAAGATTACTGTTTGGGTACTGTATGCTGAAGTTGTGACATCTTGTGGTGCTAAAACTGCTTTTTCTTTTTATYCCTTAGAAAATTACACATTTGCAGATATTGTCTTTGGAAATGAACAGGTAGGTGGACGAGTACAACTGCATAATTTGTCTTATGCAAGGTGTCCTTGTCGTGTGAAAGCACACAGAGGCAATAAGGTAACATAGGCTAGCATATASTCAGGAATTTTAGGATCCTGGCTCCACAGATGAGCTACTTTGGGATCACATTACATTGCTAGCTTTTTTTGCAAATGCTTTTCCTTTTTTTTCAGCTCTTCAGAGTAGTTGTTTTAARTATATCCCAGCCCATTAATTTTCTGGGAGAGGTCTGTAGATAGCAGATTCTTGTTCCTAATTATATTTTTACTAAGACAAGTGAAAAATTATAATTATGTTTTATTTGAAAAGCTGGAAAACCCTAGTGAATGCCAGTAGCAGAATTTGAAAACTACTATGGTARGTTGCAGTCAGTTCAAGGAGTCTGATTTTTCTAGAAGTCCAGAATCCTAGACTACCATGCTCTTCTTCTAATATTTTTTTAAACATACAGGTATTGGATACCCTTTTCACAAATGATCTTGGTACAGCAAATGCTTTTCCAAAACCTGAGGAAAGTAGGTCAATTACATCAGATCAAAAATCTGCATAGTGGGTTTAGTTAGTTGTATATCAGATTGCATATTTTATGTGAGGGTACATTTTTCCTCAGCTTTTAAAAGCCAAAGAAAACCTATTCACTGTCATTTCATCTCATAGGACTAAAAGTTAGGACTGAAGTTAGGACTAAAAATCTGAGGTAGATGATCCCTCTGCATTTTTAAAGTTGGCATCTGAACGGTTGGAACTTCAGCTTTCCTAGAGAACATTTTATTACAGTGCAGTGAAGGAGAGGCCTTCCAAGCAGGCTGCTTGGAGGTAATAATAAAAGCTCCTATTTCCAAGGTTTGTGTTTGTAGTTTTAAACTAGCAAGCTATAGCTCTGTTTCCCTATGTTATCTTAAAGGGCTCTGTATGTAAGGCTAACCTCYAACAGGTCAAGTTAACAGTGTCTCTAACAGACACTGACACCAAGGTGTCTGGCATCCCGTAGCTTTGCAGAGGGAAGCAAACTGGGATAATGGAATTGAAATGCTGCAATGATGAGCTCTGTTAGAGCAACTTTTGTCAGCTTGTGTCTTGTTCTGAACACTTTCTTTCCTTTTTTTTTTCTTGTAGATAATAAGTTCAGCCAGTCCTTGTGCAGACTTTTTTTTCCAAAGCYTATCCTCTGAATTTAAAAGAACACATGTGCAATCACATACTCAYGCATCTCAAAGGGCAGTGAAACAATCGTTTGATGAAACAGTCAGATTGATACAAAGATGCAGTGAAGTCGATTTGAACATTGTGGTACTGTGGAAGGTATGTATGGTTGTGGCCTTTGGGCAGGAAAACATTACTGTTAGGAAATAATTTAATACACTGTCCTAAACTTTCAGGCATATGCATATGRAATTTATGGGTGATTTTTTTTTTCTGAAAACAGTGAAATGAACTCTAATGATGCAAGAAGCAAAGGTAATCTTAGGATCTATTACTGTAATAAATGTCCTTATATGGTTTTACATTACCCTGGATGCACCCAGATTTTTTTCTCTTTTAAAAGAGAAAATTATGAAATCTTGAACTAAGAGGTTTGTTAATGCTTGCTCYTATAGAACTGTAAGAGTTACCCAGTCTGCTTTGAAGAAAAGGATCTCATTTCCCAAGATGCAGATATTAAGTAGTGAAACCTGGCAATAAGTATGTTGTGCTAGCCTCTAAGTTTTGATCATTACAGCAAGTTCCACTTAAGTTAGGGGCAGTCAGTAATTCTGTCAGTGTTATGAATCTTACGATAGTTTCTGGTCTGTATATGTCTTTGTATTATGTTCTGTAGGCATATGTTGTGGAAGACAACAAGCAGCTTATTTTGGAGGGCCAGCATCATGTTGCCCTTAACACAGTTGGGAAGGAGGCCTTTTCATTTCCTCAGAAGCAGGTAATCAACTGTGAAGTTTTCCTTTACCATTGCTCTTTTCTCTAAATGGACTTAATGAGTCCTCTTGTATGTAAGTGGAAGCTTTTGTAGACTCTTAGCATCAGATACGTGTTATTACTAAATAATTCATAGTGAMTGACTTCAGGTTTGCTTAGTCATCTGTATTGAAATAGGCTCAGTTGAAACATGAGAAAAGCAATATGCAGGTAAGTATATTGGTGAGCAGTTGTTGGAGTAAACTGTTCTGTGGTATTTCAGGAGAGAACTAGAAACTTTTTAATGATCCTAAAAGTGCTGATTTTATAACAAAGTTAGTACTAAAATGGTGAAGTTTATAATTGTTTTGCTTGATGAAAGAAAACAGTATCTGTAAGAAACTGGTGCCTGTCTACTGGTAYATGCATTGGTAACAACTATGGAAATTACAGATGAGGTTCTGTAAAAACATCTATACTAGATTCAGTTTATGTGGATGAAGAAGACTAATGTGCAGAGCAGAAGAAACAATTCTTACATGTTTAGTCTTCTGTTGAGTATCAGATTGCTATTCTTTCTTGTTTTGCTGCCATTCTTCTTAYGTTTTTACCAACATTGTAAACATAATATATAGCTTTTAGTGAGCTCTTACTAAAAGTTATAATATATATGTATGTATTAATTTTGTCAAGAAGACGTACAAGACAAATGTTTTCCAATAAATACCATGCTATAACACAAGTAGTGAATTACTCTGAACCTGTGCATTTGGCTTTGGTTCATAAGCCTTTAASTGTTTGTACATTGCTAAGATAATTTTTTCCATTTAGTTCTTTGTGCTATGAAATAGATGGGAATTTGCACACATGGGSTCTAGCTATGCTGAGTAGTACAAGAGACTGTATTAGTGTAATGACAACTGCCCTCTCAGGTTACCTTTTGTGTCTTAATATGTGTGTAGAACAGTAGRTCACACTGTAGACATTCCAATTTTAGGATAGAAGATACTGTGAACTTCTGATTCTCACAAATGTACAGGGAGAGAAAATAGAAATGAATCACCAAATCACATCTGCATCCTAAAATGAACAAATGACTGATTATGCTATTTGCATAAAAGAAATTTGCATTTCTTGTTGACTGGACCTCTRTTTGTCTGCATCACATGCAATTTCAAGCTAAAGCAATTCTGCCACCAGTAACAAGGAGGATCCATATATACCCTCAATTTTTTTTTTTGAGGAATGTATGCTACTGTATTAGCATTCTCTAAAATTTGTTCCTGATCAGGTTTTAATACAACTGTCTTCTATATATTCTAGTATTCTTCTATAGAATCTATAGATTTTATGTTAATGATTGTATTCACTTCATTCAGCATGAGGAACACACTTCCTTTGAAGCATTCTGTGCCTTGGCTGGAAGCAGAAAAAGCATCTGCATTGTCATGCACTTGAAATCTGGCATAAGAGTAATTGGTGGTTGGGGTATTTTTAATGGACATGTAAATTCTGTGTCCTCATGACCACCAAAGCCCAGAGWTAGCATGAATTTTAAGAACCTTTGATCTCAGGACTGCTAAGAATTGAGAAATTGTGTGCGCTCATTTACTCCTTTTTTCTTAATTAGTTCTTAATAATGTGAGGAAAGCAGATAAGCTGCTCTAAGGTAGAAGGTGAGGTATAACAATTAATTTGAGACTTTGCAGCAGTTTACTTCATTCAGTCGACATTTCAGAATTAAATGAATCCCCAAAATAGAATTARATGACACTAGATAGAGAAAAATTATATACTTAATCGCTTCAAAATTGCATATTGTCTTTGAATTATCTTGCTTTTTCACTAATGTAACACAAGCAGTAAAAAGCTGGGGAGGACTGGTGGTAGAAAATCCCAAACTCAAACTTTGCTTCTGATTTGATATTTTCAGTATATAGTTTTATCTTGCAAATCTGTACATATTCTTTTAAGTCATGAACACTATTGGAAACTACTCTAGACTGTTCCTGATTTGCCTTATGCTGACAGTACTGAAGTTGTTTTCTGAGAACTCGACAGCAGAGGGAGATGGAGATGCATGCTTTTTACCAGCACGTGGGTTATCRGCTCATAAATGATAGGGGCCTGCTCTGATGTGGGAAAAAAAATTGCAGATTCAGAATACGGTGTCACCTAGGATGCAAGAGTCCACTCTGCATTTATTGCTGAGTTTTGTTTGTTGCTCCTCTGTAGTGACTTTCTTCATGACTTCAGTGTTGTTTGCTCCATGCTGTAGTACCTAGCAAAGGAAATTTTGTCTGTCTGACACAGACAGCTATCCCCAGTCAAGAACAGTCTCACAGTGGGCATGGAGGAAACATGAACAAAATTTCTCTCTGCGCCTCCTTTATTTCTTTTAGTCCTCTGAAAAATGACTCAAATCTTTGCTAAATTAATGAAGTAACTGTTGAACAAATTGAGATTGCTTACTTTATATTTTGGTTAAGTTCTCTTAACTGACCACACAGCAGAAGCCAAACAGTAATGGTGTATCTCCTATTAACTCTGTCCAGTTTCTGAAGATGTAGTTTGGGTTTGCAGAAGCTTCTACTACTRTTCAGGAAAACACAGCTGCAGTAAAGCACTGTGGTAAATAACAGGAGATTTGATATTTTTTGGAACTGTTATGTTAAAGTTGTTCCAGCAGTTGTTCGTAGATTGGTAGTTGGGTGAATTGATAWAAAGTCACCTTAATTATTTATGTGTGTAAAATGTCAGACTGCTAACTGAGCCACAGTGATGGGTGGTTACTTGTACTTGGTTCCTTGTGGGATATTTAATGCACGATAGGGATGTGGAACAGACTACAGGGTGTAATTATTCCTGTATTGCAGTAGTATAACTTGCTATAGTATTTGATAAAATCAAGATAAAACCATTGGTTACAATGCAGCTTGGAGAAAGGCTAAAATGTTTTTCTGAGTAAAATTTTTGTATGTACCCACWTATTGAAAATGTAAGTAACAGTACTTCTGTGCAAGTTCTTTGATGCTCATAGGCATGTGCTTCCTTTTTCTTCCCATGTTTGTTCAAAATAAAATTATCAATTCTAATATTTATTCATTCCAACCACTACAATAAGTATGACTTTAAAACTGTTTTTCTGTGTCTGAATACAGATTGTTGGTAGTAGTGGTTTTTACACTATATGGTTTTTTTTTAATAACAAATAGTACCACTTTTGAGCATAGGCTATAGGACACAGTAGGCCTACCAGGAGATGTGATGAGCTACTTACACTTTTATGTTCTAGGAGTCATAAATGTAGCATGCTGAAGGAACACTTAGAGAGTATTGACTGTTAATGTTTATTTGTTTCATATAGTAATCTCTTTGGATAATACAGAAAACATTTACCTTCTTACCTTTCCTCTCATTTGTATTTTTGAAAAACTGTCCTTTGGCTAAAGGTAGGGGAAAAAATTCTAAATATGGTTTGTTGCCTTGAATCAGAAACACAGAAGGTGCCACCAAGTGGTATATGAATAGTCACAGGCAACAATRTATAAAGAAAAAAATAAAGGTGTAAGTAAAGTGAATAGCTTTGAATAGATCATTTCGATCCAAGTAGTAAAAGCCTCACATATGAAATCAGCTGAATATTTGTAAATCATGGYTGATTTTTTTGACAATGATTCTGCTATAGGTTCTGTTTCTCTTCCGAAACATGTTTTTAGGAATCAGTTAGTTTTAACTGAAGATCAATGTAAGATTGCATCTGAAAACAGCTATTCTGTCTCTTCTTCTTGACCTCTCTGCTTTAAATTAGTTAAAGGACAAAAACTTTAAATGCATTAAACATCCAGTCACAGTTAGGGSTGTTGATTAATATTATTTCTTATTGCTCTCTTCCCTGTTTTTCTAATCTGGTGAATTCAATCCAAAAGATTCCAAGGGAAAAATGCAATGTAATATAGTTGGGTAGAAGTAATAGAGTGGTACAAGAGCACACTTCTTTGAGGATTCTGCTTTGCAAAGACTTCACACCGATAGAAAGTGAGAAGCAGTCTAAAGATTTGTCATTTGAATGTTGGCATGTTGGGAATAGCAACCATCTTTTCCAGATGTGCTTCAGGTCTGCACATGATGTTCTTCTGGGCTGCACATTTAGTCCTGTGAATTAGACCAGGAGTAAAAACAACAAAAGCACCCAGGATGGATGCTGGCTTTTGGCAATATTTCACATCAGATAGGATCATTTTTGGTAACACTGCTTCTTAAAATACATGCAGCTTAGTGAGTCAGCAACCTTTTGGTTGGAAGCAGGAATTCTTGAAATGCAGGAGAGAGTAGGGTTTAAATAACTATTTTTCCTTACTATTACTGGAAGTGACATATTTTGCTAGTTCAGGATTTTTTTTACAGAATTCATGGGAAGAGGTGCTTGAATAAAACACAGATTGTTGGAATGRATTTAAGAGTTCCCTTAAACCACCTTGGTAKAGATAAAGCAAAGTTCTTMAGAGCAAATCAACATCAAGAGCTGAAATACACATTTTTCATTCCATTGTATCAATTAATGTAGCAGATATGGTGTTTATTTGGGAGGACTGGTTTATATTATTGTCAYGAATGAAATAAATAGCTGCAACATTTGATCTTTACCCATTATGGACTGCAGAGCTGATGGTATTAGTTTTCAAACTTATTTTTTCTAGATGTCACTAAAATACTGTTCCTGGAGTTGTCATTTCTGTAGTTGAGAGCTAGAATGAATATAGATGAGTCACATGCTGAAGGAAGCAACTTAAAACTGAGGTTTTAAAGTTGAAGTTCWCAGATCTAAAATGGGAATGGAAAAAAAGCACATCACTTAGATGTCTCATTYTTATTCTCTTCCTTTCAAATATTCTGCTTTTAYTTTATTCTTAGCTCAATTTAGGAGTTTCCTGTTTGGGTTTTTTTCTGTGTTGTGCATATTAGTCCCTSATACTTTACCAAGCACGTCAATAATCCTTTTGACTATGTGTGACTTGTGGTTTATGGGGTAAATATGCTAATTTTCCATGCAACTTGGATTTCAAATTGTGGTGTACTTAAGAGCACATTGACCCAGTCTTTACGAATATTATTTTTGAAACTGAAAACTTCAAGGTGTGTAATATTATGTATAAAAATCTTTTAAAGTGACTGTATGTGAGGATACCATCGCTTCATCCATCTGATAGAAAAGGAAGAACTTTTCAATTTGAAAATGCATTCTGAGATATTAAGGAATGCATTGTGGGTACATGTCTATTAGAAGATATTTTGAACAGTTTAAATGTTGCCTTCTCAACTTTTAACTTAGTATAATTGCAGGAGAGATCTGAAACTAGTGTGAATGACTAAAATACAATTTCAGAAGTCTRTAGAGATGATCTATAACTATTTCAAAGTAGCAAGATATCAGACTCTAAAGGTCTGAACTTTTTTTGTAACTACCAAATAAGTGAAGATGTTGAGATTATTCTGCTTGAAACAGCATGCTTGTGTCTAGGTTTGAGTGTATTTGTTTGAAGCTGGCCTCTGTATATGGCTTTGGGCAACAAGAAGCTTTCTAAAAATTGCAAAATCTTTCCAAGTACAATTTGTTCAGTTTGTAGCTCTTGGAAGGTAACTGCAGAGGGAGCACTGCAGTTCTGGTGCTAATGCCTGTTGTGTGTTTCTAGTCAAAAAMCAAAAAGTTTTAAAAATGCAGCTATAAAATGTAAAACAATAACAAAAACACACACTCTTCTTCCTATCTCTTGTTTTGAAGTCTCTTCCAGTGAAGCCTCTCTGTCTCTACCAGTTTGTATGTATGAGACACTCAAATTACACTGTAACTTTTTTAAAAGGCACAGTCTTAAGCATTGCAGTTTATGATGGCTGCTGGAGCTTGTGGCACTTTTGGAGGCTTTGCAAAGAACCCACACTGGGTCAACAGGCAGATTTTAAGTGTCAGAATTTTTTTTTTCCTTTTAAAGCCAATGTTACACTTGGGCTGATATTCCAGTGATAATCAGTGACAAACTATCAYCTGTTTAGTTTCTGATTTTTCTTCTGTTTCTAAGTATAACTTAGAATATATGTAACTTACTTAATATAACTTAGAATATATGTAACTTACTGTTACAGCTTGGTGTAAATTCTTGAAGGGAGGGTACAGGTGCCAAGTAGGTATGAGCTTTTGGTCTGGTTTGTTTTAAGCCTTGATCCTATTTCACAAGCTCCACAGTAGGGCAAGAGTTTAATGTGTCCTTAAACTTATCTTCTGCTTGCCATTTTGAAGTGTTTAATTCTTTTCTGAAGTATTCATTAGGTAAGAGAAGAATGGGCTAAATGTCATATTTTAGTCTTTGTTCTAGATACACAATCACAAAAAGCCTAGAGTTTGAGCAGCTGAACTTGGAGATCTTTTCTGACTCTGACACYCAGGGGCTGGCTGAAATTAAAGTTTAGCTCTGCTGATAAATGATTAATTTCACTGCTTTCCAGTCCTTCAACAGAGGTGTCATATTAGAACTAAAGGTTTGAAATATTAATGGATTCTGCAGTTTCACCAGTAAATGTTCCTGCTGCATTTTGTGATGTTCTTGTCTGCTTGTAGAGGTAAATATTCGTATTTGTCTTTTGTAGGGTTTTAAAAAAATACTCGGGAATTCTGATTGGGAGGACTTGGAACAGGTAATTTATTCTAGGGCGAACTACAGTATGCTGAATATTGCTGTGTGGTTGAAGGCAGCCTTGAAAATTTGCTGGACTRTTACTTGAGGGGAGAGAGCAATTTAAATGAAAACCTATAATCTCTGCTGTCAGTTTTCATTGTTAGATACCTACAGGGTAGGATGGAAACACCAAATTCATTCAACACTTAAACTACATTTTATTGTTACTGTGGAATATCTTTTTTTTTCCTTCTCAAATTATTTTTTGAGAAAACTACTCTTCCTTTTGAAGGAAAGAATTGTAAGCCTGTTAAAACATTTGGTATCTTCCTGGTGTTATCAGCACAGTGACTAAGGTGCTCCTACACGTTTCAGAATGCCCAGTGTGTGATTTTTTAAGCCAGGTTCCATTGCCTGTAGTGTTTATTTTCAACTTAGAAGGTGCAGTTAATCACTTTTTAATGAAAAGTGTYAACTTTTTTACCCTGTACCAACTTACACCAACCTGGCGGCTTTTTAAAAATCTTGTTTCACACATTTTTAGTACACAGTCACATTTACTGCTGCAAATTCTTTTTTTCTTGTCAAGATGGACTTTCTGCAGAATAGGTTCATAAGAAAATACTAAAAGGCAGCTCCTTCCTGAAKAAATCCTACTCACAAAACAGATGATGTTGGCTAGAAATGCTGCATCAAATGCAGGCTGGTTGCAGCTTTCTGTATCGTTTAATTTCTTCTGCTTCAGAGAGTCATTCCATCCAAAGGGTTAGGGATAATCCCAAGTAGTGTGTCAGTGCTGTCTTGGGCTTTCAGCTGGGGACAAAGGTTGACTTTCACATATGCAAGTGCTTGTTATGCAGTTTTACAGATACTCTGTTATTAAATCCTTCTGTCAGTGTTAACATGTTTCTGTAAATTTCTATTAGCTTTACTTCGTATCTATTCTGGGAAACTTATGCTTTGGGTTTCTGGTTTTGAGCTTCCTAAGGCAGGTGATAAATTTTTTTGTTGTTAGGTACWGCTGCTGAATAGGGAACAGTGTAAATGCTGTCCCTTTTTCCTAGAAGCAAGCCAAACCCAAATGTTAACAAACCACTGCAATAATAGTGTGCCTTTGTGAAACTTGCACAGATAGATTTCACAGTAGCTTGTAAAAACACTATCTCAAAAGAAGGTAATAATTAAATTGTATCAGTTCTTCATCCGGCATGCTTAAATATAAACCAGGTTGGCAAAAAAAATGTGAGCTTCATGATGCTTCAGACTTGTTTCCCTTATGAGCGATGTTTCATAATGGAAAATGATAGCTTCTGTGGCTGGATTTCTTGTACCTTATGTTACTGTTTTGAATGTTATTCTGAATTTGTTTCAGGAATTACCAGAAACGGTTCTCTTAAAGTTTTTTCGACCAGAAAACACACYGGTACCTGCAAGACCAACACCAGAGCAGCTTTCTAATCTTATTAAGACAAGTCTTCATTATCCAGAGTCTTACAATCATTCTTTCCGTCAAAAAAGGTCAGTGGAACATTATCTTTAGAAACTTTAAAAATACTGTTAATTGAACATAAATCCTTTTGAGTGATGTTATGTGGGTTATAATATAGAWGTCTGGTATGCAAGTGTGAAATCTTGTTCAATTTTTAAACTCACTGCTTCAGAATTTTATAGGTAAAACTAAAGTTTCATGTGAAAAAAAAACTGGGCTGTAATACCATAGCCCACAGTTTTAATGTTAACAAGTAATGTTATCAAACCTACTGGAAGTAAAACAGTCTACACCCTTTGTGTTTATTTTTGTTGTCAGAGTAAACAGTATGATTTCTTTGAGAAGCCAGACAGAAGGAAAGATGTACTTTTAGGTCAAAAGAACTGTTATGTCTACAATATCTCATTTGCCAAGATTAGCACACAGTTCYGACTTGCATCAGAAGAAAAGGTGGTAACAGTTTAGATCACTGGGGCTTGTTTGCTGGAAGAATATCAGAATTAACCTCTGTCAAAAGCCTGCTGCTAGAGTGAATTACTTGGAGCCTGTAAAATCCATGAGTCTTTCTGTTAAAAGAAAAGGATTTATTTCTAAAATGCAACATTTAAATGTGCCATGTTTTAATGGCAGTGATAAAGCATGCATTATCCATGTAAGACATTCACCTCTTGTTGGTTATAGTTGCTAATTGTTCTTTTCTTACAATTCAAGTTTAGGGTGTTTGAACTGTTAAGCAATGACAAGGAATTCCAGTGGCACAAATGACTTACTGAATACATAGAGGTGCTTCAGCTACAATARTTTATGTTCCTACCTGTCAATATCTTGGGGACTTTTTTGCTGCAGCATTATTTATAGAAACAATAATACTAATTGTGAACAAGCAGAATATCAATTAACTGTATTGAGGATGAAGGCCTACATTAAATCCAGATGTGCGTGTGCTGTCTGTTCTCTTTGGGAACTGTTCMGGCTATAACTTAAGGCCCAATGCCAGCAATTCCTCTACAGGAGGCATTGCAGAAGAAAAATATCCTGTTCAAAATGTGCCAACCAAAAATTCAGAAATGTTACCCCATTTTGAAATGTCTCTTGTCACACAAGCAGATTTCCTGTAACACTGAGGTGGTACTTGTGCTTTTGCTGTCCTTTCTTAGCTGGATGAAGGGAGATGGTAGCTTCATTTGGCCCAAATGAACCAGTGCTATTTGCCTTAATTGACAACTTTTATTATTAGTAGCTCTATTCAGTGTAAGTGATTATGTTGCTACCTACACTGTCTTGACTCTGGCATAATTAACTACATATAAATTCCATGTTACTGGAATTCATTTTAACTATTTAAGAGTATAATTAAGACTGTCCAAAATAAGATTTTCCTTTAATATGGAACTGTTTCTCTTTGCAGCCTCTGTCTGGTACCTGTCACTCTCCTACTTTCCAATTGTTCCCAGGCTGTTGTAGATGTGATGATTGATTTGCGSCATAAACCAACAAGGTAGTGTGCAAATGTTAATAGAACAATATTTTTTAAGAGCCCTTCTTAGCTTGGGGAGTTGTGTAATGTTTTAAATGTATTTGCTATCTAGAACAGGGTTTTTTCAACAGTGGCTTCTTTGAAAGAATGGAAATTGATATAGGGTTCATGCTGTGAGTCTTCAGTCTCTACTTAMTTTGCTAAGACAGGGCCTTTAATTGTGACTCTTGAATAGTTAAAACTCTGTGGATCTTTTCTAGAAAAGTGGAAATGCTTTTCAACTAGTAGAATAGGAGCTTCACCAATTTTTATTAAACATATGTTGTTGGGTTTTCATTTTGAAATACTGAGTAATTTGTAGAATGCAACTTTCTCCTCCAATTTGCTTTAGAGTAAAATTTCATGGAACCTTGGATATTTAAGACTTCCTCTAGGCTTAGCAGCTGATTCTTATGACTGCCTTTTTGCTTAGAACTGTTGTAGAATGTGTGAAATTATTAGCATTGAGAAAGCGTTTGTGAATTGCTTCTAAAAATTTCACTKAAGATTTTTTTGTGGGATACAGAATTCAGTAGCATGATATATGTATATACACCATTGTAGTTCTGCCACTTCTGTTAAAACAAGGCAACTTTAACTCATGGGTAATGCAGGTGACAGCTCCCCTTCAGCCCTCTTAGATATAATACTACCTGGTCTATTTGCCACCAGGGAGGGGAGAGAGACATTGAAGGGGGCTTAGTCATGAGGGACATTGGCTTCTTAGCAACAGCCCGTGCAGCCAAATAAGAAATTAGAAGCCCAGGGCCTAATCTGAACACAGGTTCAGAAGTGGAAGACACAAGATTTGTGTAGTTTACTTTTCAGATACGATTAGGAAGCTRTTCACTGATCTGTCTGTTTTTCACAAGATGGTCATGTTTTGTTATATTGTGAGGCATGTCTTTCAAAAGATAGTATACTCTTGGAACTTAAAAATATAGAAGACCCCAACACACCTTCTCCCAATGTATTAATGCAATGTCTCTAAAGCATGTATACCCATGTTGACTTCTGTGTGACATCCAGTCTGATTTAAYTCTAGATCATGGGATGGGCCTAAGAATACCTTAAGTAGGAGTTCCTCAAACKGTGACAGTTTGTTACTACATCTAGTGTTAGTGTTATGTGCCAGTTATGTAGAAAGCTGAGAATACACTGAGTTCTTCATTATGCATATATGTGTAATTAATGTTCTGTGTACAGTACATTAGGAACCAAAGAAACACTTTAAAGGTTTGTAATAATTCATCTGAACTAAGGGGAGAGCCGCTCTAAGGAGTTTTACATGTGAGTCAGAGAACATAAAAAAGTATTTGGTAAGACCCAGAATTAAATTGAGCTGATAGATGGACATAARCATCCATAAATTTACCCAAGGATATTCTGGGTGCTTTGTGTCTGCATATGTTTGTGGAAACAGGTGTGTGTGGATACGAATGTAGTAGGAAAGAAGATGGACACATGGGATTTTTTTTTTTTTGAACCTGCATTTAGTATCTTGATAAATGTTAAGTGCAGTTCTATCTATATCAATGGTGGCAACTGTTAGTCTTTGCAAAGTCTAGCTTGGCTTGCTCGAAAAACCTAAATCTCTTAAAGGTAAGGAGGGTATGTGGAACAAAGAGAGCAGTATGCCTTACAGGAAGGCACTGATTTAAGGGTAGTGATTGTGGGCAAGCATTTAAAAAGACTTGGCAGCTTCCAGGATATCAAAAGACAAATGGCACTGGGCACTCATCCAAAGAGAGCCAGAATAGTAACATAAATTCCCAACTCCTGACTTCTGAAAAGAAGCTTTTAGAAAGTATAAATTATTGTAAGGGCCTGGTGAGGGAGTGCATTCTGAAATCTTGGGGAAAACTTGAGGTTGGAGAGAGTCCTGTAAATTGGTAATATATGCTTCAAATGCAGAGAATTAACATTTTTATCTTTTTTTTTTTTTTTTTCAGCTCTGAAGGACTAGAAATACACGGATCTTTTACATGGCTTGGGAAAACACAGTACAAGCTTCAGCTTAAAGGCCAGGAGGTCTATAGCTTGCARCTCAAGGCTTGCTTCGTTCATACAGGTGTTTATAACCTTGGAACYCCCAGAGTATTTGCCAAGCTCGTGGACCAAGTTACTTTGTTTGAAACAAGTCAGCAGAACTCCATGCCTGCACTGATTATTATCAATAATATCTGACCACTTCCTAAAAAAAAAAAGGACTAAAAGATAAAATAAATGGGATTCTTTTCTTACATTGCTGGTTGACATTTTGCTGCAGTTTTTTTGAAATAGCACCTCAAACATCTAACTTGTTACTAAAGATCGTGTAGAAAAGAAAATAGCAAACTATTCAGATGACTTGTCAGTTTGTTTCTCGATGCAATGCACGTTGGACTGAAAATATGTTTATCCTTTTATAATGTATTTCTTCTCTGGTAATTAAGATACTCATAACACAAAATACTCTAACTCCTGATCTGAACATACTTKTATGTCCAATGCCCTGTCAAAAATGCAGCTTGACTGCTGTTACAACTTCCAGCATGGTGTGTTTAATATTTGTGGCTGTATTAGGATATGGTTCAGGAAGAARACCTCATTGGCTTTTTCCTGTCTGAAGCCATTAGTCATGGTAAATCCCAACCTTACTGTGAAGTTCAATAAGGTCTCTCAAATCCTTTTCTGATTCTCGGTTCTTAAGTTTAAAATTTTGTTTTCATATTTATGGAAACTGGTGACTTTTCAAGGTTTACATAAAAGTCCACGTAGGGTGTTTAAAAACATAATTTCTTGAACCAGTTTGAGTATTTTCTCATTCATCTCAAAACAGAATGCACTATTTCACAACCATGAGATTGTCATTTAAATTGTCACTTACTTTATTATGTAACTATAACAACTGATCTGTTAAAAAAAATCTACTCAAGATTTTCAAGAAATGTATTATATTTATAACAAATGTACTGTAAATAGAATAAAGCATACACCATATTCACTGTATGGACTGGTGGCCTTTTTGCTTCCCTTTGTAYTCAGCTGTGGCAATCCACACGTGCTTCTACTATCATAGGACAGTACTGGTATGTGAGACAGTGCATCTGCCTTCTGATGCATTTTTTTCTTTTTAGGTAAGGTTTCTAATTTTACTCATWTTTGGTACTACTGTATGACTGTCTCCACGACTTTAGGCTTCCCAAAAGTCTTGGAACCCATTCACAGTATATGACCTTTCATGGTCAAACTTAGTAGGACTGTGAATCATGYTGATAAATCAGTAGAATACTGAAATATTCTCTGACAACGAATGTGTTGCTTCAGGGCTCTAATTCTTTTCTGTTGTTGTATAGCTCGAAAGAATAATCTAAAAGATTCTCAGCATTGTAGCCTTAAGCTGTGTCATCATTGCTTTTTCTGCCTCACAGCCATTTAGGGAAGGAAAATCATTATTGGTGCCATTCAGCTGTGCACTGTAGGGCTCAATGTTCTAAGTCATAGTTGGTGCATATTTTAAGACAGCCTCTCCAAAGCAGGTTATCAAGAAAATCGTGTGTAGAAACTGGTGAAAAGAGACCCTATAGAGGGAGCTAGACTGGTTTGATGGAGACTGGACACTGTCCCAATGGCAATTCACAGTGAGATCCTGCTGCTGAGCAATGGCTGGCAGGTACAAAGTAAGTGAAGATGTGAGAATATCTGAATGACGGAGCAGTGAGATGAGATGATGCAGAGCACAGCAGCTCTCGTAGCTTCTCAGCACTCCAGACCCAAATGTGTGAGCTCTGATGCTCACCTGCACATCTCTGAGCAGTCTGTGATTCATCAGTCTTGAGACCCAGCAAGAGCTGTGGGTGTTTTGGGGAGGAGGGTCCTTGGCAACCTGCTTTCGTGGATTTCAAATATAACAGTGGAGCTTTTCCTGTCTTGGAGTTGCAGTAGCAATAGTTAGCTTGAGACATACTCTTTCTCTCTMCTGGTGTGTCATGAGAAATTCTAAGTGTGTCTTTGGGAAGCTCAAAAAACCAGAATTTTACTGTAAGATTGCTTAGGAGAAGAGCTTAGGAGAGGAGCTAGCATGGAGATAGAGCTCAGCCTGCCTCCTTAATGGATTCTCACATGGGAAACTCTGGACTCCCAGTGATGATGAAAAGTTCTATTGAAATGAARATTAATCTTGTCTTGCTATTGAGTAAATAGGTATATCTGCAAAGGCTTGTTTGTGCTTCTGTCAGCAATGTTGTGGCTCAGAGTAGATCCTAATAACACTTCTTACCTTGAGAGAAAAATCTAGAAGACAATGAAAAAATCTCAAAGACAATGAGATCCAGGGGATCTTTGTTGTATTAGAAATCTACTGAATTTTCCTTTGTTGTTACATTTGTAACAAAAACCATGAAACTTGCCAAACTCGAAGTTTTGTTAAAAAATAAAATGCCCTGTTTTAATCTGGGGAATTTGGGAACAATTTAATCTAGTATTACTTAAAGTGCAGAAATAAATCCATATATTAATAGACATAAAATTTGGCTTTTGATTTGAGCTGAGTCACCAACAGACCTGCTCCTGACAGGTGGTGAATTCTGCCATCCCTTCCATATTTCATGGCATGCATTGCTGTATCCTTTCCTAGAGGAATTCAGGTGGTTGTAGGCTGCTTTTCCAAAAATTGCTGAAATGCTGCATTGACAGATTACTATTTTRTGCAGTGTAAATCTGCAGTAATAAGGTTTTACAGTCAGTCATAGTCTGAGAAGGCTACAGGAGATGACTTTGATAATATAGCAAGTTCTTGTGCTTAAATTGTCTCAAACAGCAATCCCCATCTAKTTCCTCAAAATTAGGAGAAATCATTCTAAATGGAGTATTCCTCTTAGATTTTTAGTACTGTGTGCTTGTCCTGGCTGAAGTTTAGTAGAAGTACTTAGGAGAGTACCTTATTCTAGAATAAGTTTTTTGAAAGGACTGGTTRTGCTGATAYAGCTGTGGAGTTTTCTGAACTTGTTGCCTCATCTTGACTTGTAACCTGAACTTTTCTATACTTCAGGAAAAACTATCATAACTTGACTATTATACTTAAATTGCTTATAACAGAAACTCAGTCTCTCTGAGAGAGAGAACTGGAACTACATTATTTAAATCCTGTCTAAATATTGAGCAATAGAATAATGACTTAACTAGCAATAAATACCTWAAAGTTTGAAATAAAAGCAGTATTAATCGCTTAACTTGTAAACAAAATGGCCATTTACTTACTCTTGTGGTTGGTGTAATATTAATTAATTATTGCTGTCTTACTAGAAAAGTGTCTGGCAAATTACATAAAAAGTCCATCCATACCATGGTTTAAGACAGGTAGTATTCTCCTGATGCTCATCATGAGTGAAAACCTGTGCTCTCTGCAGGAGTTGATTACAACTCCAGGTTTGGAAGTTTGAAGATATTGGTCTTCGTCACACAGCCTGGCTTGATACCAATTATTAAGAATGATTTAAAAATCCACTGAAGTCCCCCTAACTTAAAAACAGTTTCCTAAAGTTTAAAAGCTGCCAGGTTTCTGAAATCATTCATTGTTCTGGAAAAACTGTCTGTACAGTGATTGCACAGTGAAACAAATCGGACTAGATGCATAGGGTCATTTAGACACATAGGTTAATTTAGAATGAAAACTGAGGGGGAAAAAATAGTAAAATTATAATTTTTAAAATTTCAAAATAATAAAACATTAGCTTTCTGAGTAAAGAAAGGACATTGAACCAGTTTCTCCATTGCATTTTTATAACAAGAAAATTTTCCTAAATAAAAGGGAATTTCTCTCGCTAGATTTCTCAGAGATTTACAAAAACTCCACTCAAAATAATTAAAATTTTTCATCCCATTTCTTTGCAGTGATAAATGAGATAGGGAATATGTAAAAAATCAAAAGTAAAATCAGAAAGAGTGACTGTGATGCCCAAAATATTGTTAGTTTTTTGGAAAAACACCACAGACATGCACTGAGAAGGTTATGGATCAATTGCAAAAACTGTGAGGTGTAACCACTACAATGGCTTTAAAGATMTGGGCCATTGTAGGCAGGGAAAATGAACCTTTTATTGTCCTTATCAAGAACCTGATACTTGAATGAGGACAGATTCAGCAACTCTTAACATCCTTTGGATATCATTCAAAGGTTCAGGTGAAAAATAGCAGGGGGGAAAAATAATGTAGGGAGTGGTCAGTTCTGTATTTAGAAACTTATCAAAAAGTTGGTAAGAAGAGTTGGAGATCTGTTTCTCTCCCACTGAGTCCTTACACAGACAGACAAATGATATTCCTTATTATCCCTCATGTCATGGGTCATTGATATTTGTTACTGACTCTCAGGATCCAAGATTTGAAGCTAACAAAGGAAATGAGCACCGATTCACTTGTAGTTTTGACTGTAACTAGTTTTTGTTCAGACACAAATTCCTTAGTGACCTGTGCCTCTGGTCAGCTCACAGCAGCTTTTCTCTAAAAAAATTTTAGTTTTGATTGCTAAATAACTTTGGACTCCTTSTGGAATAATATTTCCTCCCTCTGGACAGGGAAGGTACCTAAGCTATTAAGTACAATTTCATGATGTTTTTGGAAAAGTCCTTAGGAAAATTCTACAGTTTCTTGAATCGTGAACTCAGCTGCACTTTATTTTCACTTTTGTCATAGGGTTTTGCCAAGTCCAGTAGCAGAATAGAGAGGTTCAAAGTAAATCTTCTCTAGCAATCACTCAAATTTTGTCTTACTCCAGAAGAAATGCGTAAAGTTCCAGTATAAAAATAGAAGAATTTCATGTTTAGATTCACTGACATAGTTCCTGTTCAGCAGAAATAATACTTGATACCCATGTCCAGTGTATGTCCCACTGCATAGGTTGTAGTTTAAGATGTTACCAAATTTCTTTCCCTGTGAAACAGAGATGTGCATAGCATGTTTGTTAAGATAAAAAGAGAAAAGAGAATATAATTATTTTAAATTGTGAGAAAAATTCTATCAACGTGCTGGAGTGAGTGGAAAATGTATAAGCCTTGGGAAGGAACACAGTGGATAGTATATGACTAGAATAATGAAAATTTAAAAAAAAAAAATTGTTGATGGTTTTCATTATTCAAACCTGAGGTCACAACAACCATACAATGTTACACCTTAACTTTAGATTGTGGTAATATACGAAAGCTTTCCCACCACTGACTAAACCACAAAATCAACATTTTCATTATTCTTCAGCTGTAAAGTGTAAGTCCAGCTGCCTTACTGGAAAGCAATCCCCATGCTAGTGAGACTGCCTGGAGGAGAATGAAACCATGCGGTGCAGTGACAGCCACAGTCAGATTAATAGGGACAGAACTTTTAATTTTAAAGGTTGTCTTCTAATTCAGAATCTACTGTCCCATAGAGCTATCTACACCAAAAGTGTCACTCAGCCCAGGTGCATCAGAAGTCAGGTCTCTGAATTGCAMTGAATGCAGTGGAGACTCCTGGGTGTTTTTCATTTTTTGCACTCTTGCTCCAATGAGGTAAGAGGTTATTTCTGAGTTACCAGAATATAAAGATGTCTGCAGTAATGGAAATCCACTGAGGGAACGTCAGTCAGTCTTACGCACATTGCCTTCAGTCCCTTAAAATCTTAATATTTACCATCTTTTCAAAATTACCCTTGAATAATTTAATGGAAACAAAAGGCCCTTACAGAATAAAAACTAGGCTGGAACAGAAGATAATAATTTTCTCAACACTTCTGTTTTTAAAATCATAAATGCAGATTAAACACTGAGTGTTTCCTGATCCTATTTAACTCAAGATTTATTTACTAAGCTTTTCTACTTTACAGGAGTAAATAATTAATTTATGAAATGTCACTTGGCTAATGAGTTCTGCTAATTGCTTAGTGGTAGCTGAAGAAGTGGAAAAATGAACCAAGTTTAAAAACTGTTGCTTATAGATTATGGCAGTGTATAAATCAATTCAGTTGACACTTGC